CTTACTAGAGACCAGATGGTGCCTTTGAGTCATCGTATGGTTCCTGGTCTTCTCCTGGGGCAGCTCAGCTCTGCTTCTTGCTCAGGGCTAGTGACCAACCACAATTGAGACTTTCTTATTTTTTTCTAAAAAAACTTGTGAACTCAGAGTTGAAACAGTGCATTGCTAAGGTCCCACTTTAGCAAGGTGATGGGAGGAATTTTAAATATCTGAGTGAAGTCACTGGAATTGCTCAGGCGCTTAAAGTTATGCCCATGCAGAATTCCTTTGCTGAGCTGGGGCCTAAAGCATCACGGGGGATTTAATGTTTGTAAAAACAGGCTTTTCTGCTTGATTCACGTAGACTGCAAAGCTTAGGTGCCAGCTTCCTCATTTCACGGGGGGGTGCTCGACCCCTGCTCTACCCCAGGCCCTGCCCCCGCTCCAAGCCGTCCCCCAAGGTCCTGCCCCACCTCTTCCCGCCCGCCCCCGAGTGTGCCTGCCCTCGCTCTACCCCTTCCCCCCCCCAGTGCCTCCTGCACGCCACTGAACAATTGATTCGTGGCGGGCGGGAGGCGCTGGGAGGGAGGGGGAGTAGCTGATCGGCGGGGCTGCAGCCCTGGAGCACCCACGGAGTCGGCGCCTATGCTGCAAAGGTAAAAGGATGTTAGTTAGGCTAATGCCATAGACCTGACATTTGTCTATTAACTCTAGCTCCTTTGGCGAGAGGTGGGGGTTTTGCTTCCTGTTGCGCGAGCTCACTCCCATAGCTGAGTGTTCTGATGGTCCTCGGGAGAGCCAGTGAAAGCTAAGCACAAACTGGACTTGATGGCATCGTGGGTGATTGTGTTTTGCAGTGCTCTAGTACGTGTGCTGGGGGATTCCAGCGGCGGGTTGTGGTGTGCCAGGATGAAAACGGATACACTGCGAGTAACTGTGATGAGAAAGCAAAACCTGTTGAGCAGAGATCGTGTGAATCTGGCCCTTGTCCGCAGTGGGCTTATGGCAGCTGGGGAGAGGTGAGAACCAAGTTAAACTTTTCCTGTCTCTAAAAAGACATACGCCAAGGTTTTCAGTTGGGGGGCGGGGCGGGGAGTTGAAAATTGGAAATAAAAAATACTGCCAATGGTTAGCAAAATGTTTCGTTTACTGAAAAGCGAGTTCTTGGGAACTGAAACAGTTCTGTAAAGAATCTGGTAATGTTTTCAATTAAGCACAACGCAGAAACATTTCCGGACAATGACAGATTTTGAAAACTCTATTTAAAAGGGCCATTTTTTGAGAGAAAAGCTACTCATCTGAATTATGTCAACCTGCTGTAGTGAGTTTAGTGTCCAGCTTCAGACATCTTCAAAAGCACTTGGCTGATGTTTAGCGCTTTCTAAAAGTTGGTCTCATTTAATGTGTCTTATTTTGAGTACCCAAAAATAGCGGCCCCCAAAACCTCTGGTCCCTTCTGAAATTTAAAAAAATACCAACACCCTCTTCTGGGGCCTGTCTCGCCCCACCCTGAAGTCAGTGGAAAGACTCTCGTTGATTTCAATGGAGGTTGGGGCAGACAATGCTCAATATGTAAATTACTAATATTATAACTGCTCTGTTGATTTCCTTTCTCTAGTGCACAAAGGCATGTGGTGCGGGAACAAGAACAAGGCTTGTGGTGTGTCAGCGCCCTAATGGTGAAAGGTTTCCAGATCTGAGCTGTGAAATTCTCGACAAACCACCAGACCGTGAGCGGTGCAATATGCAGGACTGTCCTAGAGATGCTGCCTGGAATTCTGGTCCTTGGAGCTTGGTATGACCATCACATATTTATCTCTGTGACTCTTTTTATAGATGTTCCATAACAACAAATCTAATACGCTTAAAGCCCAGGTGTTAATATTTTGTGTCATAAAACTGCACTTAAAGAAGATTATTTACAGTAGACTCAGAGTGACGCATTCAGGAAGGGCTTACATTAGCGAAGTAAACTCCTTTAATTTAAAAGGCACTTTCTGCTAGATAACCAACTTTGTACATTTTATTACATTGCAAGCACCATGCATTACGAGTCTTGGTTATGACTGAGTTCTTTGCATGCAAATTAAAACCTGGCATTTTAAGCAGTATATTTAAATTTAAATGAAAGTTTTGATTATATTTAATATTTTATTGTGCACTTATTATTGCCCATGTTGCATTTTCTCTGCAAAAAAAATTATCGTTATGGGAGGATTTTGGTGCTAAGTTGCCCTCATTCACAAGTATATGTGTTTATAAGTGTGTATGTATTAGTTTATAAATATATACACACCCATACAGAAAACACAGGCACGTTCCTACTTTACTATAATGCATATATACATGTATATGTATTTCTATATATATACATGTATGTTTATATATATAATGTCCTTTATTCTCAGCTGTGGATCATATAGTGCAACTGATGAGGGGCCAGGCTTAAAGTGGTTTTAAGCTACCCTTGCATATTTCTCTGATCCTTGGTCCGATCCCCAGCCACTGCTCTAAATTACACTAGCTGCCCATGTGGGACTATTATGGCAGCCGGGGATCAACAGGAAGTAGGGAAGCCCCCTTTCTTTAGGTCACCTTTCCTCTCCAACCTCTGGGAGAGGAGTGGAATGGGAGTTGGTTATGCTGGCTCTGTGCCACTGGGATGATTCTCCTGCACTGCGGTGTTCCATCCACGGCTCCAGCTGCGCAAAGTGGCTCTAATGCAGGGGATGATCTGGACCATTATATAGTGTCCTGTAGTTTAAAACTCTACCCTGCCCAGCCTGGGATCTGTCTGCTCTGCAAGGTGAACTCCACAGAATAATACTGACTTCCTGTATAAAAGGCCCTCTCCACCTGAGGACAGGTGGAATTCTAGTGCTCCTGGCTGGTTGCTAACAGGTGCTCTTACACCAAAGTGAGTGTGGGACTTGGGACACTGGCTAGATAAAATGAAAACCGTTGATGTGACCATTTTAAAATGACACGCAAACACGTGTCAAAATGTATTGTATATTTTGTTAAACATAGCTGAAGGTTTTTTAAAGGTGATTTGACTTGAAAGCACTTTATAAAAAATGAGGCCTTTTTGTAATATATTGACTTCCTTAAACACTATGGTTTTAACATCACATTGCTGGAGTTTAATATCATTGTAGTTTCTGTGGATGCTTTTGGTAACATTTCTGTTTTTTTCATACCTCAGTGAATTATGTGATAGCCATAACATTGCTGACTAGTATTTATACGGTGCTTCATCATTACAAGGGACAGTGATTAATTTGAGGTGCTAATGTATCACTTTTATACGGATAGTTGGTGCTGACTGAACGAGCTGAGGCTCCCCGAGGCGGTTGTTTTCTCCCACAACTGCGTCCTGAAAATTGCTGCTAACTTCTGTTTCATGTGCTTGAATGTTTGCAAGACCCAAGCAAGATGGCTAGCCTCTTCTGTTGGGTTTTGGTGTCCTCCAGCATTTGGCATTATCACCATGTCTTTTCTGGAACAGATCATAGGGCTGTACACAGCTCTGTCATAACTATCGATTTCAGTGGGATTGTGCCCGCTTCCACCACAGCTGAATCTGCCCCCCCAGTGTTTGATAGACAGGGCTCCATCCTGCATTCCTTCCCCAGCCAAACCTCCCCTTGATGCCAGGTGTCGATGAGCTGGGTCAGATGTGCAGAATCAGTCTTGCAGCACTGGGGTGCATGCAGTCCTAAACTGTGTTCTTAGTCTTGTGTTAATTAAAGTTTGCTCTAACTCGTCAGTGGAGAATCTTGCGACCAAAGTATTCAGTAGCAGCGTCACCCGCTCCTACTGTCCCTTCTCTTGCAACGTTCCCGCTGGAGAAAGATTTTCAGAGCTGAGCCACTATTATTGCCGTATAGGGTCTTGCTTTTTCATGTGAAGTATCTTATCTGTTGTTTGCCCGAGCTCTGCCGTAAGTGACTCTAGAGCTGTATTTGAGGACCTGTGGGCTCAACAAGGAACCAAAGTTTTGTCTCTCCTGAAAAATATAATAAATTTCTACGTATCCCTCGTTTTCATATTACCATGGGCTACTACAGTAGGTCGTAGGGGAGAGTCCAACTTTCTTTTATTGTATCACCTCACTTGCTTCTAGTTCTGACATTGATTGCAGACGTCATTCTGTAGCCGTTCAGACTTCATCTGTTCAGGTGGAGTGTCACTACCATATTTTTGGTCACTTTTGAAACAAGAGTATAGTATTAGCTGAAACTTTTCAGCAGTATGGATTTATGTATTTATGTAATAAAGTGTATTTATTTTTCCAGTATTGTTATTTAATTTTATATAAATATTGCATACATTTACAATGTTTAATGTTAACATCAAACAGTGAAAATTAAAGACAAGTAGAAAGTAATCAGAAATGAATTTGTATAATGATTTCTTGAGTCGTATGCTAAACTGCAACAATACACTTAATGCTATAAGATGGCAAGCCTTTCTGAATTGGCAATGTAAGATTATCTTCCGTCAACGGTTATTTAAAAATCATTATTATTTATTTAGTGCTACTCCAAGGAAATTAGTCGTCCATACTAAGTAATATAAGCTATATTTAGAAAGAGATACATTTAGTTACTTTTGAAATAATGCTAGTGCTCTAAAACCTCTCACTGTGACTGTGAAGTACAGATGAGTCCTTTCATGCAAGTATTTAACTGGGTAGTGTTCTTGCATGATTGACTGAAATGTATTATATAAAACATCAGAACTTAGACTGCTCATTTTATTAATAGTTAGTCCTGCAGCCCTTACTCAGGCAAATTCTGTAGTGACCTTTTATGAAATCAAAGTGGGGGAGGTTTATCTCACCTAAACATTTCAGGGTTTAGCCCAGAGATTTTTTTATTTTTTTGTAAAGCTGTGTGTGAAATCATACCATTATCATATGACATGGCTGGTGTAAATGCACCCAGCATTACCTTTGTGATGGACATTCCCGGGGAAGAAAAGAATCACAGAACCATGTGGTACCTTTCAAACTCCTTATTTATTCAAGAACATTTAGTGTTCAAGCCCTGGGGGAATCATAATCCATCTGATAGACCTGCTTTTAGGACACTTACATATAAAGACTGTTACTGGAGAGAACTAATACTTTCGTAAAATTCACGTGCATAATTAAGTTGGGTGACAAAGAACAACTTTTTATGTACATGCAAATGGTGAAAGGGAACATTCGCACACTTTTAAAAACTAGGTTGCCAAGAATCAGTACACTCAGAACCTTGAATCCATTTATCCAAAAGCTGTCTGGGTGAAATCCTGATCCAATTGAAGTCCATGGGAGTTTCTCCTTTGACTTTAATGGGATCAGAATTTCATCCTCCTGAGTATAGAATCCCCACTGAAGCTGATGCGAGTTTCTTACACAGAGGTCTTGGCAAATTGGGCACTAGAGTTGTGAAAGCCAGTTCTTTGAAAGAGTAAGCAAATCATAGGGTACCTACTAGTAATATCTCTGTAGTTATTGAGGTGGGTCTCTTATACCCTCACTGCATGAGTATTGTACTCAGTGATTTTAATGGGGGTTATGTCAAATACTTGCAGGAGAGACAGTGGCCCTCATTCTGCCATTGGATCCACATGGGCAGATCAGTCTGGGCCTTGAGTCCTATAACTGCATTTGCAGAACAACATCTGAAAGGCTGTGTACAGTTTATCAAAAGCCTTCCAATAATCTAGACTTTGGTTTGCGAAATAAGGGGTCTACAACAACACTGCAAACAATCCTGTTAAAACTGAGCACTTCCAACTACTGGCATACAGTGATTAGAGGGTAAATAATCAGGGTATATGTTTTCTCAAGAAAATAAATGATTGCATTACAGTGTACCCTAATAGATAGCACAGCTGTACATTGATATGATATCTGTATAATGAAGAAATTACTTATCACAGGCTTCACAACCTGCTCCCTTCTCTTCTGATTAGAAAACACAAAGGGTCAAATGAAGCAGTTATTTTACCCAATGCCATCCCCTTGGTTTCAGTTGCGACATCCCTCTGCCAGGCAGCTCCGTGACTATAAGTCAGTGTTGAATTTGACTCATGAACTGTATTTGAGAGAACTCTAGAACCGTGTTATCATTTTCAACATGATCTACTGTGTGATTTTGGCAAGCAGGCCTCCTTGTTTATCAATCATTATTATCACAAGACTTTAGCTAACGGAAATGTTCAAAAGGGGGATTTAGGGCCAGATTCTAAAAAGTGTTTAGGCGCCTCGTGGGATTTTCCAAAAAGCCTCTAGGCACCTAAAACTCATTGATTTCAACTGATGATAGGTGGTGAGATGTCTTTGGGCAGCCAAATAGATGCCCTAATTTTGAAAATGAGACTTAGGTACTGCAATGCTGAGTGCAGCAACACCTAAATACTTTCAAAAATCTGGGCTTATGGGCATGTCTACGCTACACCATAAGCTGATCTCTGGTACTACAGTGGCTGATGTCCACACTACCCTCCTCCTGTTGGTGGTGTGCATCCTCACCAGGAGCGCTTCCACCACCTGAAGAGCGGCAGTGGGGGGCCGGGGGGGTGCTGAGAACCCTCCGCACAGCTCCCTTCCAGGATCCCAGCTTTCCCTCCTTCCCCGCCCTGCCGCCGGCTCTCAGTTCCCTGTTCCCAGCTGGGAGGCGGGGGACAGCCGCCTGAGCTCCTTAGCTCCTTGAGTGGGGAGTCTCCGGGCAGCAGCCTGGCTGGGAGTGGGGAGACGGGGGCAGCCAGGCTCTAACTGTTTGGCTTTTTTATCAATGTCATGGCTCCAGCAAGGGACCGTGAAATTGACAAGCCAGCCAACAGTTGATGCAAGTAACACAGTGTCTACACAGACACTGCTGGCCCTAACTACACCCACATAAGCCCTACGCCACTCCTGGAAGTGGAGTTGTTATGACGGTGTAGTAGGGCAGTTACATTGGCAGGACGAGGCTGTAGTGTGTACGCTGACATAATTAGGTTGCCTTATCTCAACCTAACTGTGTAGTGTAGACCAACCCTGTGTAACATTTCTGTTCCCTATCAAATATTTTTTCTGGGCTTCCATTGTGCCTGGACACAGCCACTCCCAATCTTCTTCGACTGTTGTCTTTTCTGTTGTTTCCTCCTGAACAAATCTCAACAGAAGATTCCTTGCTATCTTCTAACCTCATACTTAATATCATCCTCCCCTACAAGTTTCCATTTTTTGGAGCTGACTTGTGTCTTCTGCTTCCTTACCTAGTGTCTTCTGCCATGATTCACCATCTAGGTCAGCCCCCGCATCTGTCAGCACATTGCTCTATATGTATGATGACTGGAAGATCAAGAAGCACAAATCCAACCTTTACAAAAAGCATAGAAACCCAAGCATTTTGCAGCTACAGGTTAGGGTCGTTTATGGATTCAGTGAGATTTATGGTAGGGATTAGGTAGGTTGTTTTGTGTCCTACAAGAGTGTGTCCCAGAGAAAGTTGTCTGATCACAAAAATATTAAATGTTTTCATATTCCAGTAAGACCACCTCAGAGTACTCTCGGGTTTCTCTAGCATTTCATTTCAAGATCAAATTGGAGCAACTTAAATAGACAGAACATACAGGGGTTTCCTCCAGATGTGGTCAGCTTGGTGCTGCTTAAGGAATAGTCCTATATGCAGGGGTGAACATAAGTCTAGAGACTTACCGGTACGGGGCTGGGCTGGGGCCGGCTCTGGCCCCCAGAAGGGGCAGGGCCTCGGGCGGAAGGGGCAAGGCTGGGGGAGGTCAGAGCCAGCCCCGGCCTACCCTGTACCGGCAAGTGCCTCCTTTCCCCTCCCTGGGTTAACAGCGGCAGCCGGGGGCTTTGGCAGCAGTTTAAAGGGCCCTGGGCGGTAGCGGCGGATGGAGCCCTGGGCCCTTTAAATCATCCCCGGAGCCCTGCCGCCACTTCCCCAGGGCTCCGGCCACAGGGCTCCGGCCGCCACTACCACCCCGGGCTCTTTAAATCGTCCCCGGAGCCTGCCGGAGCCCTGGGGAAGCAGAGGCGGGGCTCCAGGGATGATTTAACGGGCCCAGGGCTTGGTGCCGCTACCACCCAGGGCCCTTTAAATCGCCGCCCCAGCCCCACCACTGCTACCCCAGGGCTCTGGCAGCAATTTAAAGGGCCGGGGCTCCAGCCACTTCTGGGAGTCGCAGGCCCTTTAAATTGCGTCTGGGGAAGCCAATCCACCCCGGTACGGCGCACCGGCTCTGGCCAGTACGCCGTACCGGGGCCTACCAGCTTACTTTCACCTCTGCCTATATGTCAATGGCTATTAGCTAGGATGGGCAGGGATGGTGTCCCTAGCCTTTGTTTGCCAGAAGCTGGGAATGAGCGACAGGGGATGGATCACGTGACAATGACCTGTTCTGTTCATTCCCTCTGAGGCCCCTGGCGTTGACTGTTGTTGGAAGACAGGACACTGGGCTAGATAGACCTTTGGTCTGACCCAGTATGGCCGTTCTTATGTTATGTTATTTGTACTGTGATAGGGCCCAAAGGCTCCAACCTGGGTTTGGGCCTACTTGTGCTAGGTGCTGTACACACATCTAAGGTCTGATCCAAATTTCACTGAAGTCAGTGGAAGCCTTTCCACGGATAACAGCAGCCTTTGAATCAGGCCTGTACGAAGGGACAGTCCTTGCCCAGAGGAACCATCTCGTTCAGAATGCGTTAGGCCCATTCACCTCCTTTTTGTTGCTGCTCCCTTAAAGACCATGAGAGAGCACAGTTGCTTTCAGATTGTTATGCCTATTTTTGCTTCTTTGTGTAGCGTGGTCCCTGAATGTCAGTTGACCGCACTGCAGACTAGAAGATCTTTAAGTAGCCTCAATTAAACACGACAACTTAAAATAAAAAAAGGTGTTGTACTGGCTTGGCACAGCTGGATGGTTTGATGTCTGTAGGGATTGGGGGAAGAGATGGCTTTATTTTAATGCAGGCATTTAAGAAAAACAATTCCCCTTATTCTTCTCCATAGACAGGGTGCTTTGTGCCTCCAGAGCTGCGGGTGCTTAGCCCTCCCCAACGGGGATGAGGCACCGTAATGCCATGAGCGCAACACCCCGTCAAGTCTGGTCACTTACACACCGCGGTGCTGGGTATAATAGTCATGATGATTATGATAAAAGGTGTGTTGCCGCTGAGAGAGCTTGAGCAAAAGCCGCTGGTTCTGGCGTGGAGACTGAGGCTCTGAAATGGTCACTTGCTGTAATCTGGAGATAGTTCTTTATGGCCTATGGGCAAGTTTGTGATTTGCTCCGCAGTGCCGCACAGGGGAAAGCATCCCTTCATATCCCACACATCGCCGCTCTCCGCCTGGAAGAGAGGGAGAAAGCATGTTCAGCAGGCTACAGAGTCCCTGTGCCCCGTGTTAAAGCAGCTGGGGAGAGGCACAGAGGGAGCAGCGCCTCTCATACTCCTGCCAAAGTGTGAGGCTCGGACAGTCTGCACAGTTGCACCAGCACAGCGGGGGAAGTAATTTGTTACAGTCCCCCACCAGCAGCAAAGTACTGTCTTGGCTTCTTGGAGCAAGGGGGGAAGCTAATTGGGAAATGTGACTCTAAGTCACAAGTCCATCCCTGAGCTGCTCCTGGGGCCAGGCAGGTGCTTGCCACGCGGAATAAAGTCATGTAACCGCAGCCCTGGGGTGGGGCTCAAGCCTTCTCCCTGTTGCTTAGGGCAGCTTCTCCCTTCTTCCCTTAGGGGCATGCGGTCTTTATTTTGGTGCCTGGTGCCTCCACCCAAGGTGACTCTTCTCTGTGCCAGGGACACAGCAGGTGCTGTCCCTTGGGAAAACATTTAACACCATGTACTATACTAGGCATGTAGGGATAAAACAACACAACAATAAGGGGACTTTATGAGGCCCAGGGCACAGAAGATAAGGGGTAAGGAAAGAATAGGAGTAATTAGAATAATAAAATAGCAACAATATCTGAAACCCTCCACCTGCCAGCACTTCCTATGCGCCCAATCCCTCCTAGCACCTGCCTGGGCAGCATGTGAGTGGAGAATCAGTTCTTTACTGAGCGATGCAGCACTATAATTGTTGGCCAGCTTAAAACTCATATGCAAAATAAACAGACATGGGATTTCTTATAAGACCTTCGCCCCTAAAAGGGTAGGATTGTCCTGAGGCTCCCTAGTCTGGAGTCCCAGGGAAAATGAAGCTGGCTCTTGGTAGCCTAATCTGGAATTGCTCCTCATCCTCCTGGGTTGCTGGTCTCTTCTGGGCTGTCACCTATCGGTGACCCAGTAACCACCACCAGAGTTCAACATTTCCCTCTGGGTAGGAACGAGAAGTTTCCTGGGGACCTCCCAGGCTGTGATACTTGTTCTGTCTCTGCTTCACTCCAACAACAACCCAACACTTTGTATCTGAGCTCTGGCTAATGTTGATTCTGGTAGTGGCTTCAAGCTTGTTTTGTCACCAGCCTGTACTCTAGGCAGTCTCGGAAATGGAGTCCTGAGTCTCTGTGGCCATTGCTGCTATAGTCCAAACGTGATTCCCTTAGAGGCTTAGAGTAATATGTCAGGAACAACTAATTCCAGAGGGGGTTGCAGTCACAATATGGCCCTATACAAACTAAGCATTAGTTATTATATTGTTTAGCATCTCACAGACATGTACAGTTCAGGCCCCCAGTTTAGGAAAACAGTTAATGCACGTGCTTAACTTTACGCATGTGCTTAAGGGCCCATTGACTTCATTAGAAGTCAGGCACATGCTTAATTGCTGACCTGACTAAGGGTTGAATTTTGCAATGAAAAATCCAAAAGTAGGAAGTGGTAGCTGGACCAGGATTACCTTGAAGCTCTGTTATAGGGATTAGTTTACCTTTCAATTTGTGAAGTTTTGTGGACATATGTGTTTTTGGAGGCACTATTTTCATGTTCTTTTCCACTGTATATTTTCTAGATTTAAACAAATAAACTTGGAAAATTCCCAGAAGGAAAAAACGTCTGGAACTGAAAGTTAAAGTGGTTCCAATAAAGCTAACTCTTAGACACAAACTGGTTTAATGCATAATAAATGACCATTGTTTTTCATCCCAAAATGATGATACAGTGTTTGTTTGATTTTATCTGGAATGGAGAATATGAGCAGTTGAAAGTACTTAGACTGTTGAAGAAGTTAATTGCATACCATTATTTGAATATGGATAAAATTACTCATTTTATCACTAGTTCACTTACTAACTCTTCTTTAATATCCCCTCTTCCCATGAGCTGGACGTTTGCTGGTCTCTGCAGCACATTGGCATGAACTTGATCAAAAGGATATTTAGCAGTTGTGTTGACAAATGCTGATGGTTCATTAAGTGATTTCAGAGGGCGAGATACTCACTTCAGCATATTTGTTGTACTGGTGGGCTCACCTGTAGGTAAATAAAATACTGACATCATAAAGAGCTAATCCTCATTCCACCCGGCGGGAGGAAACAAACCAGTAATGGTTGCCATTTATCTGCAAGGTTACATTTGTCTCCCAAAGCACTGAATTCCCGTACAGTGTGTGTCCGATGTGTGCCCGATGGCAGGAAACAGTGAAGGGCAGTAACACGGCAATGGAATGTGCATGGATGAGATGAAGAATGCTAGCTGGATCCCCGGGCTATGATTTGAAGCCTGCACATATTTTTTTCCCACGTTGCAAATTTATACGTAAATATCCTAGGCTACAATAGTAGTTGTTTCCTCATTGCTGAAGTATTAGAAATAGTAATAGATTTGTTCTTTAGAAAGAAGAATATGCGATTATCATGGACTCTGAGCATGCAGGCCTTTACCGTAAATATAACACACATCGTGACTGTTCGGTTGTTAAGGACATAGTGTTGTAAACCTAGTTGCAAAGACACTTAAGGAACTCTATTCATGTTTTTTATTTTTTGTACTATCTCATCGGTAAGGCAGGTGGGTGTGCTGCATGCATGGTTTCCTTGATACTAAGCTCCACACTTTAGCCTTTGGACGGTACATGATGGATGATGTATTTGAATGCAGAATCATAACAAGATATTTTCTGTTTTAAGGGAGCCCTGCTACCAAATCCCTATAGCAAGTCATTTTGTCTGTCTTGCCTATTTAGATTGTCAGTTCTTCCAGACGGGGCTGTTTCTTACTATGTGCTTGTATGGCACGTATCATAACAAAACCATATTCTTAGTTGGGACCTTTTAGGCACTACCATTATACAAGTACTTAATCATTATAAAAGCGTGATGTCAGTTAAATTAGGCCACCCTCTGCTTTAATTGATCACATCTTAGTTCCTTAGCATGTCAATCACGCTTCCCTGGACACACAGACTCCTTTACACTTTCATACACCAACTTGCTCATGTAACCTAGATGTCACTTTGTCCTGGAGGATGAAGAAGGAAGGAAAACATGCATGCCTCGTGTTGGTGGAAAATACATCAGTAGCAAATGCACTGGGGAAATGGTTCTGGTAATGCTGCCTGCATCAGTGCGACCCAAGGTCCTTACGAGGTATTATTTTTTGAAATTAAGTAGCTTGGACCATGGGCCACATGGGAAAATTCTGCATGTAGTGATACATATGTAGCAGTGTGGTCTTCAGGAGCTGGCAGATCACTACACAGAATATAATGACGGTGCAGAACAGAGAGGCCAGGACAACCATGGAAGGAAATATGGGCCGTTACAAACACGACCTGGATGCTGCAGGGAGAAAGATGGGTACGTGACTTTTTCCTGTCTTGTGGTGTTACTCAGAGCCCCGTGTTGCCCACAGATGCGTACAACTGGGGCCTGATCCAAAGTGTGAAGGAGTCACTGGGAATCTTTCCACTGAACTCAGTGGGCTTTGGCTCAGGTCTTTGAAGAGTTAGCGCAACCTTCCTGCCAAAGAGTTGCTTGACCAAGGGCCATCTCTCCGGGTAGGACTACACTGGGCACTAAGGGTCCGTCTACACTGCAAAATAAAAACCCCGCATCCGCGAGTCTCAGACCACGGATCAATGCCCTTGGCTGGGTTTCAGAATGCAGGCTCCAGCCTGAGCTGGAACATCTACCCTGCTATTTTTAACCCCATAGTGTGAGCCCAAGTCTATGGGATCTGGGCTCGTGGACTCAATGTTTCCAGCCCTGCACTTGAGCATCCACAGTGCATTATAAACCTGGGTTTATGGCTACTGGATCTAGTGTCAGAGCTATGCCAACGTGTCCATACACAGACCTTCTCACTCGCATCTGCGGTTTGAGCTGTGTCCACACTGCAAAGTGGCAGGGCTTGGCTGGCTCTGACCAAGTCCCCTGAGTGTTTGACCCAAGGCAGATTGATTTGTGTATGGACAGAAGGGGAGCTTGGGCTCAAACCTGAGTCAGAGCCCGGGCTTAGTGTGCAGTGTAGACATACCCTGGAGGGCCAGTGAAATGGGCTACATACACATCCACCCCTGTTGTGCAAATTACATAGTATTCACTTAAGACTTCCTCGAGCAGAGCTAGCATGCGTACGTCTACCCACGCTGGAAATAGCCAGATACCGCAACTGGAGATGTGTCCCGCTGCGGCGTAGATGTGTGCAAAGGCCCTGATTTTCAGCAATTCTGAGAACCCACTGCTCCATTTGAAGTCCATGAATTTTTTTTTCAGGAGGAATTATCACTAGGGTTTTGTCAAAAAATTTGAGGAGGAGGAGAACAATTTTTGAAGTGGGGGTGCTGAGAGCCACTGAACCAAACTATAACCCTTGTATATAATGGAAACCACTTCAAGCCAGCAGGTACGGGAACACCCGCAACACTCATCATTCCAGCACCTATGGAGGAGGAGGGGAAATTGTGAAAATTCCATCCATTTTTTGGCCATGGTTTTGTCATTGAAATTAAAAACTGATTCAAAAATTCAAATGCCAGAAAATGTTAACCTGCTCTACTGATCATACTTCTGACCCATAGATTGGATGGCAGAAGTCCAAAGAAGCCAAATAGTCCATTGTAAAACCACCTTTCATGTGGCCGAAAACCCAAACATGATACAACACTATTGTGTCCATGACGATAACTTTCCTTATGGAAACAAAGGTAAGTTCTGCCCGGTTCACCAACAAGGAAACCCAGTGACTTCAGTGGAGGTAGAATTTGGTCCAAAGTGTTCTCTAGCACATGTCTACAAACTATTAGTTTTAAAAAATTTGTTCTTCTGTAGCAGGCATGTGCATTTTCTTTCACAAATATATTAATTTTATCCAATTCAAAAAAAAATCCCAGTGTCCATTTACTTTTCACTTCCCTCCTTTCTCTTACAGTGTCTGTGGAAAGGAAAGTATTACCGTGCATATCGCTGGGAGTAGGGTGACCAGACAGCAAGTGTAAAAAATCAGGACAGGGTGGGGGGTAATAGGTGCCTATATAAGAAAAAGCCCCCAAAATCGGGACTGTCCGTATAAAATCGGGACATCTGGTCACCCTAGCTGGGGGGGGATTTGGTGGACTCTGGTGCCATGGAGTGATTTTTGTTTGCCCTGCTTCAGTAGCTCTGTCTCTTCAGTATAAAGATCATTCTCCCCATTTTACTTGTAAATAGCTGACATGGCTTTTGGCCTGTTCCCAGAGATGGACACCACCAGTAGAGATGCACGAGTAGCATTGCACCATGAGTTCCACAAATGTGGCGAAGTCGTTCTGTATGAAAACGAGGGCCCTAATTAAGCAGGGGACTAGACCCACTGATGTCAATGGGAATACTCATGTATTTAAAGTTAGGCAGGCGCTTACATGTCTTGCTGAATCAGGGCCTATGAAATGAGCAAGTCCTTGTCCAGCCGCCGCTTTTGGAGGATGTTTCCGTGTTGCTGAAAGCCATGTAAAGACTTCAATATGTTTTTTAAAATCCATGTAGCCCAATAAACAGCCAGCTGGCCAGAATTTATCCATGCTAATCTTGCTGATGTATATGCATAAGTCTTAACATATCTTCCCGTACCATGCTGAAAATGGGAATGGCGCGGTGTGCTTCACAGGGCCACGTTTGCAGAGCACCCGCAGTACCTGTGAGTGGATCTGTCTGCGTGCACCAATGCAGAAGTGAAGTGCAGTAGCTACTTGATTGCCATGATCTGGTTACAGCTGCATTTAAGGAGACCCACTGAATTTCAATAGCTTAGTGTCTAATGTAAAATGAGACTAAGTTGTATGAAGGGAAAACGTTAACCTCCTTAATTTTCCTTTTTTGTTTCATCTATCATTTGTTTCAGCTAAGCTTTTTGGATAGGACGAATGAGTGTTTACTTTTAGTATGATCCTAAAAGTGTGGAAATGTAAACCTTCAGGAATGGGTTTTAATTGCCTTTGAAAAGTTGCCCATTGCAAAATCTGATAAAAATGTGTTTAGCGTGATTTTTCCCTCCCTTCTTCAAGTAACTGATTATAATTATCTTTAGGAAGCCTTTTTGTTGCAGCTTGCATTTAATACTTCCCAAATTGTAAGGCTGCTGCACAGTATCTGTAAAAATGGCCTTGACAGCACTCTATACAATTTTGTTACTCTGAAGAATTAACCATATTCTTGGTGGGAGTTAGCAGTTCTGCCCTGTAGTTACAGCCAGTTGTCCATTTTCAAAATACAGATAGCGTAAAGTACGCACATTATAAGGGTCAGTTCTTGTGCTGGTATCATCCACATGTATCCAGTTGCAGACGTTGGTCCTAACTGATCATAATTTGTGTAAATCTTTTATAACCTAAGTGGTCTTTGTGGGTATATATTCCATTCTTTTCAGGCACTAAGCCAGTCAGAAATCTTGGAATCTATTGCAGACTTTCCATTTTGTAAGAGCCTTAATGAAGAAGGTGGCATCTTATCTTCCAAATTTTATACATAGGAAATGCAGTGAGGAATAAGCTGATGCAATTCACACATACTTGGTAACAATAAAATAATCTTCATAATTCTTGAAGTCTGAAATAGAAAGCAAATTTCTGTGAAAATGAAAATGCCAGCACCTGGACAATGGAACAGAACATTGCATCTCAGGAAATGTTTTGCTTCACATTCGGAGTTGCAGCTTCACTGACCTTGGCGGGAACAACTAATAAGGATATTTATTTAATTTAAGTAGTACATTTTAGGTTTGTTATTTTTAAATAGACACCTTTCCAAGACTCTAGGTGCCTTCCTCTAATTAATCACACAAAAAAATATAAGTAAATTAAAACTATGCAACCAGGACATTGATTCTAAGTTTTTCTGGGAAAAGATTGTTTATTCTCTGTGTAAAGCAGAAGGCGTGATTATAATGCTGTGCACATGTTAAAGAATAATAATAACAATAAACAATAGAAGTGTTTCACTATACCCTTAGTGTAGTGGACACAGTTTATTTTTAAAGTAATAACAGTTTTCTACAT